TGTGAATTAAATTATCGTGGATGATAATATCGTAAAAACAGAAGTATTATTACAGGGAATTGTCTGAACAATAAAATTTCAAGAATGCAGAATAGTTTAGATAATATGTACGTTGTAAATTCATTTATAATAATTAGACATTAAAGATGGTCGAGAGAAAACGAGTTTTATTGACGCATCTATGAGAATGGTCTGATTTTACCGAGCACAAGCTAAATTCAACGATTCTCATAAGCCAAATAACAAGTTTTTGCACTACGGTTTTCGAAATATTCTCACATGCATAAGAATTCCACTCATCGCTGCACCGACGCGTAAAAAGCGCACGTTTGTTCACTTTCACGGAACTCTAATGGTACTTCCTACTAATTAATTAATTAGCGTACACGCCAAAAGATTTATGCGCGCTCGCCGGTGACTGTCCACGTACAAATTATGGAACTCAATTGCATTGACAAAATATTATTGTTTTAGATCATTATAGTGTACTCGCCGATCAGGAGCCTCTCTATCAATTTTATGCGGCCGCGGTGGCTCGTGTTGCTTTCGAATCGGATTCCGAAGGCTACGAAGAGGTAATGTTCTTACATTGTTAAAAATGTGCGAAGTATTTTTCTAAAAAAATTCGTACAAATAAATTGTTTATTTTTATTGAATAATGTTTTTAGGATAATTTTCAATAAAATTCATTTTTAAAAAATTAATATTTCTACTGGTAATTTTTGTAAATAAAACATGTTTTTTTGTGTAAATAAAATATATTCTTTATATAATGTATAATAAATGTAACGAGATTTTTTTCTTATTAATCTTAATTTCTTATAATATTAGCCTATAATTTCCAGCTCCTTCTCTCTTACCTGGATCTTTTTATTATTATTGTCATATTTTCTTTACGATTTAGAAAATAATAAAAGTTTCAATTCTTCTTTCTTATATTTTACTATATTTTTTTATTAAATAATATTTACTAAAAGAATTTAATTTTTGAAACTTCTTAAGAACTATATTTAAAACGGTACGATAAATTATTTTTTTCTTTATAATAAAATTTGAACAACACAGTGTTACTTCACATGACGTTGCTATATAATTTTCTGTTTACAGGTAGAAGATATGATGAGGAAGGCGGAACCAGCCACAGCGGATCTTACTAGAGCAGGGCAAAGAATGCTTTGGTGTCATACCCCACAAGTGATACACAGTGGCCTCTTACGTAAGTTAAAAAATATAATGTATATTTAATTAAGAAAATATTTTTTATATGTAGTAAGGTATATTAAGAATAAAAAATATTATATAAAGTTAGCAAAAACATTTTAATATTAGAGAAGTTAACACCGGAAGAGAAGAAGATTCAAGAAGCGAAATTCGAGATCTTGACTTCCGAAGCATCGTACTTAAATTCTCTTCGAGTCCTAGAGAACGAGTTCCTTAATAATCATATACTAATAAATGAGATTCTAACGCCGATCGAAAGGAAGAAATTGTTGGGTGGAGTGCCGAGCGTATTGTCGGCATCGCAAACGTTCCTAGCTGAATTAGAAGCTGTGTGGAGAGAAGATCCGATGTTGTCGGGTTTATCGGAAGTCTTGCTGAAGCACGCCGAAAAGTGTCAGGCCACATACGTAGCGTATTGCTCGAATCAAGTTAGCATAGACACAACACTGAAAGAACTCAAGTAAGATAATTAGCGATGCCATAAAATCGTTTTTCATATATTTGTACTTTATAGAAGATTTAGATAAAATATATATTTGTTTATTCAAGATAGAAATAAATACATATTGTTTGGGATATACTGATTATATTTATTCTATTGCAGAGCTCGGAAAGGCGTAAAGTTCTTGGAGACTATCAAACGCATAGAAATGCAACCGGCGTGCCAAAATCTATCTCTACATTCCTTTCTAATGCTACCAATGCAGCGTGTTACAAGGTGGGTACGATATCAATATCAAATTATCTTCTTTAAGACGCCTTGTATCCTGATTTTGGATATTCATGTTATTTGGACACACAAACTTGATATATTGAAGTTTATTTATTGTGGTTTTGGTATTGTGTTAATTTCGCATTTCGCGTAATTATTATTAATCGAAAATGTATGTAGAATGAAAGAAATTATTTACACGTCAATAATTCTTTGTAGACTGCCCTTATTAGCTGACGCTATTCTCTCCAAATTATCGATGGGAAATTCGGACAGAATGTCTTGGGAAAAGGTTTTATCGACTTTGAGCAATGTCGTTGCAGAATGTAACGAAGGTGCGCGAGCTGCTGCACAGGAAGCCGAAATGGAAGCTTTAGCAAGGTATAACATGCTGTTGTATATTATTACTTAATATTATATTGTACATTCGTTCTTTTACGTATTAACGAAATAAGTTACATTACATGTCTTTAATCACAGGAAACTGGAGTATGCCTCGAAAATTAAACCAATCATGCTGAGAGGCAAACAATTAGTTAGAAGTGGATCGGTCGTGCAATTGTCGACGAAAACAGACACAGAATATAAGCTCACATTCGGGAAGAAATTTACCAAAACACCACTCTACCTTCTATTACTCACTGATTATCTTCTAGTCACGAAATTGAAATCTAAGTAAGATATCATTTATTATTAATATAATTATGTTTGTTTATTTCGTTGCATTACAAAACTGATTTTATATTATAATTATAATTTTTATAAGAAATAATTATAAAGCCTTTGTTTTTTACTTTTAAAAATTGAGTTGATTTTATTTTATTTATTTGTTATTGCTTGAAAAGTTGTCTTTCAGATGCCTTATTTTCATATAGAAAAAACACGAATAAATGAATTTTCAGAAATACAACAATTTCTAGCTCTTTCATTGATAAGAACGAAATTTAAAATGAAATATTTTGCAGTGCTCACGACGAATGCTATACCGTCATAGATGCGTGCAAAAGGAATCTTCTGGCTCTAGAGTCGGCTTCCGAAGAATCACCATTCGCCGGACGGAACGCTATGATATTGACTTTTTTGGAAAACCATTGCGGCCGTCACGTAGAATACATCTTAACATGTGAAAATAATACAGAACGAGAACGATGGCTGGAGGCTGTCTCACCACCCAAACGTGGTTTAGTTGGGGAAACGTTGTATGAATCTTGGGACTGCCCGCAAGTGATGGCCAAATATCCATATTTGCCAAATCAACCTGACGAGCTGTCGTTACAATCAGGTAATATATATTTACGCTCCAATTTTTTATGAATGTTTCATACATATTATCAATGATCAAATAAATATTATCAACAGAACTATTTTAGTTTTAAGAAAAAAAAAAAAATATTTTTTAAATAAGAATTTATTGTTTTGTTTAAAGAGTTTCATAAATTTTCAAATTAAATATAAAATTTAATATTTACAAAATACCTCGTATACACACGCACATAACAAAAAAATGTTTAAAAACTCAAAAATACAGTTTTCTCACAAAATTTGATTCTTTAAAAGATGTTACTTCTTACAGTACTTAATAATTTAGTAATTATTTTTCCATCAAAATTTTATAGTAAAAAAATTATAATTCTAGTGAATTTTCAAATATTGTTCTCTAGGAGACGTAATAAACGTATTGAGGAAAATGGCAGATGGCTGGTATCACGGTGAAAAATTATTAGACGGCGAACAAGGATGGTTCCCGGCAAATCATACGAAGGAAGTTGCATCGGAACACGTGCGCGCGCGAAATCTGAAGCAACGGCATCGTCTTTTAGCACTCAGCAACAGTGTAATACAACAAAGAAGAGCGAGACAAAATCAGGGCATTCATTGATGAAATTAAAATGTGATCTGAGCTCGAATCACTTAGATATTGTGATCATTAATAAATTATTTATTATATACATGATTTTTACAATATTTCAGTATTGAATATTTCAATTAACTTATGTGCCAATGTAACATCAATCGTCAAAGTAAAAAATGATTTTTTAAATCTTTTATTGTAGTAGACTAGTACCTACTACAGAAAGCTGACACGAGAGATAATGATATATTTTATATTTTACATGTATATTGTATATAAAAGAATGGAGAAAGGAAAAAAAGAGAATGTTATAACAAAAGTATGCATCATTTATTATTTTTATACAAATACAATATAAACGTTATTTAATATATTTCTTTATTCTTAAATATCTTCAATTTGATCAAGTATGAGAATGTCTGAAATTAAAAAGGTTGAAAACAAAAGTGAATAAAAATTAGTTTGTGATGAATGTTGAAAATGCAGTTTTTACAAATGTGTAAAACAGTCTTATATAATATATAGGGTGTTCTAATCCTAACAGGCAAATATTTCAGATACTGTTTTTTATCAAAAAATATTCCAAATAAAAATTTCAAAATCCTCTCTACCATATAATTTTTATATAAAATGTCTTTTTGTAAAATCACACTTTATATATTATATTTACCTATTAAGATTAAAATGAATCATCCTGTATAAAAGGTATTCTTAACTCATGAATATATTATAAGATTTTTATTATTAAATAATAATAAAAGAAATAGTCTGCAATTATATAGAACTTTCTATAAAAATTATCAAAAACATTTGACATATATTGACATAAATAATATACTAACTTGAATGGAAAGTACAGAATCGATGTGAATTTTTCATTACATTTTTGCGAATTAGAAGTTCGTTTTTATTTATTTGAGGCCAATATATATATTTTGTTCAAATATATTTACTCACGAAAAAATATATGTCAAGAAAATTTTTGAATTTCTTGTATCTCATCATATTTTCGATGTTCAGACAGTCTCTGAAAAAATCATTGCACATAAATTTACACAATGGCATAAAAATAACATATAAACATGCTAAATCGCAATTAAAAATTCATGAATCAAATTGCTTATATGTTATAATTTATGCCATTATCTATAAACTGGTTACGATTTTAATCAATTGATAGACTTATCACAATATACGTATTAAACGATGCTCTCATCGAGTAAACAATTGACTGCAATCGGTATTAAATGCGTGTTTTGGAATGTCCAGATGGTTTCACATCAAACAGCTTTCTGACGAAGTATACTTGGACCATAGTCGTCAACGTAATGACAAGTACCTGCGCGATCGACCATGTTTGCACATAAGAATTATTGTCCATTAGCAGATTCAAATCTCTTGCTTCTCTGCTCCTGCTCCAATGTTGAGTATGGAGCATTTCATTAATGTTTTTCTCCACATTCACGATTGTACTCTAAAAAAGAGAAAGGTGATAATGATATAACAATATAATATATAATGTATTATATAATATTTTTAATAATATCAAGTTCATGAATAGTGTCCACACTAATAAACAACAATTAATATCTTTAATTGTACACACATTATATAATATGTTCAATATACCTACATGTATATATTTATTATATAATATTTTATATACATATATTAGTAATATATATGTATTATACCATATTATATACTAATATATGATTAATTTGTGACATAATTTTTATATTTATAACGCTTGCAAAAGTTTATATAACACATACCGTAAAATTCTCGACAGAAAGATTCAGTTCTTCTAATTCCTGTGTATATTTCTGCCACTTATCATACCTACAACAACAGTTAAGATTTTTATTTATTTATCACTCTATCTTAGACCGGTATTCATAGTCGGTACTTATTTCAAGACTGCCTTAAGTATGTCTTAAGATGCTAAAGCGGCCCTCTGATTGGTTCGTAACTCTTCAAGACTGAACTTAAGACGATCTTGAATATAAGAACTGACTATGAATACCGGCCTTAGACTGTATTGTGACTAACAGATTTGAGATTGTGTGCAAAAACAAAAAATATGTTTTACTATGTTTCTATTTTTCTGACATAACGTATATTTTTGTTAAATTAGTTGTTTTACCTAATCACTGTGATGTACAGATTGATTAATTTTGCAGCAAATCTTGAAAATTGGTTATCAATGCATACGCTATAATAACCACCTTTTACCGATTGATCCTGATAGTCGGCGTTAGGACGCCATTGATAAGGATAAACTATAACTCCTTCTGGATTTCTTACTGCAAAGCCAGCTTTTCCATCTCCACCACGCAAAACCTACAATTAAAACAAACTGCTTGAATCAATGTAATATTGATGCATCAATATAAATCAATTATATATTTTTGTTTCTATTTCAACACTACCGTTGCATCTATGCTTTTTTCTATTTATTCTGTTATTAAAGTCTTTTAAACGCAATTTTTTAATTTTTAAATAATTCTTAAAAGATTTTGCTTGATATATATATCATACATAAAATAATTATTTGCACACAATCAAGATTATTAATTTTATGGCCTTATATTACGAAAAGAGGGTACAACTTTTTTCATGATTATTCTCAAGAATCATTTAATTATTTCAACATTTTCTTATATATTTTTCTAACACACAACTCTAAATTACTTTTTATAACTCACAGCAATTTCATAAATATGTGAATAAAGATTTCATTCTTTATTTCAAGTATTAATTTTTCTTTGAGCATCATTATTACAATAATTTTCGGTTTCTATGAAAAAAAAAAAAATTTAAATATGTATAAGTAAAGCAATCCTCGAAAAGTTACGATAAAAGTTGTATTCTCCTTATACAGGTGTATATCTCCTCGAAAACAAATCGACAAAACCACGTTTTCCACCGCAAGAACAGTCATGAAATCTGCAAACACGCATAAGCTAAGAGCAAGTGCTCGTAATTTGTGTGCTCCTCTCGGAGTCGTATGGAGAACAACGTCTTGAATAAAAGTTGTCTCCAAACTCCACGCAACCATATGGTCAATCAAACGAGTCGCATGTCGCATTCTAATGCTCATATCCAATTCTTCATCAAACGAAACGCTTCGCTCGCGGCTCGCCGCTGAATAGACATCCAAGCCGACGATACCTGAAAGCTGACGTAGAACGTCGCGCCTGGATTTACATATTGGAAGTAGCAGTCCTCCTTGCCGGCGTCAACGTGCACCTTGTAGTCCATCGCGACCGCGGGCAGGTTTTCGTAAGAGAAACCATCGGTCGGCGGCACAACCAACATTAAGAAGAGCACGCCGAATAGTACGCTGCCGAACTGTACGAAGAAGGACATCGCAACACGATGAGCATCACAGTAAAATGACGTCGGCAACGGCCATGCGAGATCGTCAGACTCGCTTGACAGACCACGCGCGATGCCGGAGCACTGGACCCACTGGAAGATTAGTTTCTCACAATCAGAACGGAGCAGTGTGCTTCATGCGCATGTATACACGTATGTCATCGACCACGTGACAGACTCGAGAGAGATGAACTCATTCTTTATATAATATTTAAGGAATCTTTTTTTTTCTATTTATACATTTCAGAATATTTTTTACAAGTTCCTTATAAAATTTTATAATTTTTTAAAAAATTTCTTAGATTTTTTATATACAAATTGGAATATTCTCCAAAAATGCAGAGAAATTCGATTTCCACACGCATCTTCTTTTATATAATGTTATAAATTCGAAAATATTTTAAAAATCCAAATTATTATACTTCGTTCTTATAACTATTTAAAAACTATAAATGAAATCAATCACATAGACGTACGTATTTTTTAGTATTTGGAAATTGCTCAAAATGATCAAGTGAATATATTATAGACATAGAATAGAATACTAGAGCTGGCATTCATAACCGATTTTTATAAGAAATAAAACCAATTATATACATATACATATATAAGTATTATATTATGTATAAATCTAACAATAAGAGTGCGTTCCCATGGAAAAGGAAAAGGTGGAATGGACAGTAAAACGGAAAAAAAACGCGATGAAGTATCCAATCAGAATGATTTCGTCCCTTTTTTTCATAATCGGGCTTCTTATGACTGGTTGGCCCCCCATTCAGTTTCTTTTCCATTACTGTTTCGACTCGCTTTCTCCTTCTCTGACCCAAACGTATTCTAAAGCTATAATCACACTACAGACTCCCGACTATGACTCGACTACTGTGTGTGACTTGGACTCCTGACTATCGTTCAACCAATCACAGCAAGCCGACTCTGATTGCCGACTCGAGAATAGAATCACTCTATTCGATTGACTCTGAGTTGGGAGTCTGTAAGGTGATTACGGCTTAAAGGTACATTTTTACGAGCCGCTCAAATCGGCCGTTTCAACGACAATAGGCTATTCTTTTTACTGAACTAGTGCACAGAGTGCAATAAGTTGAAGTGAAACAAATATATGTTTGTTTCATTTCAACTTATTATACACTGTGCGCATCAGTTTAGACAGTGCAGGCAGAAAGAACCTTTGACTATATTATAGTCAAAGGAAAGAACAAGCCTAAAAAGGATCACGTGATCGAAATTGACGAATATCTCTTGGACGTCTCTTGGAGACCCGGTAATAAGTTGCACGTCATACTCCAAAGTTTGTGCGTTGCTTAATTATGTTTACAACTTGAGTCTAATCCCGATATTCACAGTCGGATCATATATTAAAGACCGTCTTAAATACAGTCTTCAGAGAGAGTCATACTAGCGTCTTAAGACATTATACTTTTAATTAATTAAATTTATTTATTGTGCTATGTGTACAAAATTACAGAAAGCTAAACAAATGTATATATAAAATAAAATATAATGTGCGCAAAATGGTGAGGCATCAGCAAATCTGCTGCTCTAACGCCTACCAGAAAGAGAGTATCTAATAAAAGATATAATCGAGAGGTATTAAAAATACAATACTATAATAAGCGAAAAACGCAAAAATGGAATATTTCCTTACAACGAAAAGAAAAGATAAATAAGTGCAAGATACAATTCATAACGAAACATAAAAAAAAAAACTTAATTATTAAGATAATTTCGAAAGAGAAAAGTGGACTCTATATACTGGCTTAAGTAAGTGCGTTATAATTATAGTGTTCAGACTCTAATTATCCGCATAGGCACAACACTTTGTAAAATAGGAATTACGTATATCGCTGGTGGTCCCCACTCTGAAGTCTGAACTAACGTCTTATAAGCACGCTCCGTAATCGGGAAACGGTGGAAAGCAATAGTCATAATTGAGATAAAGAGCAGTGCGTCCAGAATTTTCGCTGCCGTCGATACGTGTCCCCACGAAGCGGAACGGACTCTTGTGGTGCGACGTACTGCAAATGGTGTATAGATCGCGATCGAATTCTTGAGAAGTGCCCGCCATAAATTCGGTCACGAGAGCGCTCCCATCGCATTCTTGACAATTGTCTCATAAAACCGGATTCGTTCACGTAAATGTGAACAAACGTGAGCGAAATCGTCTCGATAAATCCTGTAAGGGCGAGAAAGACGTTTGTAATCATTTATTCACATTTGTTCGCGGTTGCTCGCGGACGAGCTCCGAATTTCGTTACGATGAGACATTCGAAATCGGCAAGTTGCATATCTCGTGAAAGTTGAAAGGAAAATGAAAGACATTGAGAGGAAAATTGAGCAATATAGTGATGCAAATTCAAATGGATTGTAACGTGAGTCGCACTTGTAGAATGTAAACAGGAAATTGTTGAAACATTTTTTAATGATCATAAATTGAGATTCGAAAAACAGAAGAATTATTCTCATCATTAAAAAGTGACTGAGAGAGCTAAAGAAGGAATCGCAGGATTTGCTCGTAGCTTGGAAGTAATTAAACTAAAAGATTGAGTGGTCGGGTTCTTTTTAAATCTACGTGAGTACATTTATTGCGCATGTGCGAGTATTATTCCCGAAAATACATAAAAAAAACTCTAATTTTTCAAAAACTCTACCATTTTATGTAACGGTATGATATCAGTATCTTCATAGTTTTACTCACTTATGAGTATATTAGTGAGTGCGCTGAAGTGCTCACTAATACTACACCGCATAAGTGACTCAAAGACAGATAATCATCTAAAGGCCGATTGTTCCGTCTTCAGATAAATTCATAATGTGATATTTATCTAATAGATAAACAAAAGAATAAGAAGAAAAGAGTTTATCGAAAGATGATGAAACTACAATTCAGTCTGTAACTGGCCATATATATATTTAAATTACCATTATATTATCTAAAAAATTCCCGGCTAAAATAACAATATTTGTAAACAACTTTTTACTTAATGTTTTAAGAACTATCATATATATAATAGTATATCCTTAAGTTGCGAAGTTTAGGTCACCCTGTATAGATAGCACTCGCATTCTTGAATCATTTCATCCTTGTCAAACAAGGATAAATAATGCTTCCGAGCTTGTGAGTGTCCAGATTGCAGCCATAGGTTAACCCGCGGTGATCCAAGCTTCGTCGTATAATAGAGAGCTCGAACACGAACCGATTGATGCAACGTGCGGCTGTAGTTGCGCGTTGCGATTCAGCGGAAATAGCCGGTGCGTCTCGCAGTGTTTACGCCGCGTAATAATCGCGCATTCGACAACAGCCAATCGTAACGGAAGAAAGTCGGCGGCGGTCCGAGTTGATGTATATATTTAGCATGTCGGACGCGAAGTCGAAATCACGGATTTCACGCAATAAACTGTCATACCGTCGCAGCGTGCCGTCTCCCACCACCTGTCGCATTCACGCTCACTGATTATGCAACGCCGAGCTGTAATATTTTGCGGCTTCGGGGAGAGTCATGCATTGTCGATTATGATCGCGAGTGTACGCACGTTTCTTGCGCGACAATCAGCGACAATAAACGCGCGTCGAGACACGCATGAATTCGTCGGTGCACGCGGAACGACACATGCGCGTGTGTATGCGTGCGTGTTTGACCTTCTTTTTGCAACGTTTCAAAAGTCAATTATTAGTCGACAGGGGAATAATGATTTTACCTGTTTCTTTACGAGATCTTTTAGAAATAAGAGGATGTAGGAAAAGTGACGTTATCTTGTGACAAAATAATTTTACATCCTTATCTAATCGTGTTTACTCAATCTTCGCTGTTCTTACAGCCTTTACGTCCTTTTTTACTACTTTATTTATATTCTTATCTTATGATTGATATTATTCTCAGTTTAGTATCGTGAATGATAAGACTCTCAGGAGATAATTGTTGTACAACAAACCGTGTATTAGTGAAATCTCTTTTTAAAGAAGCATATCCTAGATGAGTGCATTAATAAATATATTTCTTTATTTTTAGAGAATGGCAGGTGTTGTATATGTGATAGGACTGCTGTTAGGAGGGGCAGCAGCTTGGACCGTTAATATTACACATGACATAACTGTACATATGAATCAAGTAATATTAGTCCCCTTCAGCATATATAACGTTACCTTATCCAATCCACATATACGGTATGGTACCGATCAGCATATCGCAAAAATAAGTTCTTTTTTTGCAAGGGTAAACAAAACTTCTTTCGATGGTATGTTAAATATCACTGGCGAATTCCTTGGTACGACGAAATTAACGTTTACTATGACAGAAACGGAGGTAAGTGCTAAATAAATCTCTCATTTTATTTCTCAATCATTTTCTTTTTAGAATGATCAAAATTTCTTTTCTTTTAGATTATAGAGAACCAAGAAGCAGCTGTCATTACCGTAATACGAGAGGAACGCACAATAGACTCTATATTTACCGCCAGTGTAGCGATACTTGTATCCATTTTGTATATTAATTTTGGCTGCGCTATAGATTGGAACGTATGTCGCAATACATTAAGAAGGCCAATAGGTCCAGCCATAGGTTTCTTCTGCCAGTTTGTGATCATGCCATTGGTAAATCATAAACATACAAGATGTTTTAAACAGTTAATATATACACAGATATTATATATACATTGCATTGTGCTTTGCTGTTTTGTCAGTCAGATTTTCCATGATCCTGATTATACATTATTTCCAGTTAAGTTTTTTCATTGGATATCTTTTATTTCCTCATCGTCCTGAACTGCAAATAGGCATGTTCTTCACAGGAATAAGTCCAAGTGGTGGCGCTTCTAATATGTGGACACTGTTACTTGATGGCAATTTGAATCTTTCAATCACAATGACCACTATATGTACCATTGCTGCATTTGGTAAGTAATATGCAATAAATAAAAGTGATTCTTGTATTCCTGTATATAAAATTTTACTATTCTTCGTAGGAATGATGCCATTTTGGGTCTTCACATTGGGTAGATATATTTTTGAACAGGGAAAAATCGCAGTTCCTTATCGCCATATCGGAACTTTCGTAATTGGTCTTATAATTCCACTGGCCATAGGATTTTTAATTCAAAAAAAGTTTCCAAGAGTATCAAAAATATTAGTCCGAATAATGAAACCTTTTTCTGTGATTTTAATTATATTCATCATTATATTTGCTATCGTGACTAATCTGTATATATTTAAACTGTTTACGTGGGAAGTAAGTCTACATTTTTTTTTTTCAAATTTACGATAGAATATAAGACTTTTTTAAATTCGAATTTTTTTATCTCAGATCATAATCGCAGGAATGGGTTTACCCTGGATAGGCTTTTCATTTGGTTTTCTAATAGCGTATATTTGCAAGCAATCTGAAGCTGATATACGGGCGATTGCCATTGAAACTGGTATTCAAAATACGGGCGTGGCGATCTTTTTATTACGATTTACATTGAAGCCACCCTCTGACGATCTAACTACTGGTAAGTATGTATTTTAATACATGCGTATAGGAGTTACTTTAATTGTCTAACAAAATGTTTTCTTTTTAGTGGTTCCTGTGTCTGCCGCAATGATGACACCGGTACCATTAGCAATTTTATTTATAATAAAATTGATTTATCAGTACAGGCAAAAAAAAACAACGAAAGTAACACTAGAACCTGTTCCGTCGTTAGAAAAGCTCCAACAAGTTACAGATATTTCTACGCAAATAAATGAACCTAGATTATACAATCATGCAGAATAATTAAATTTGTTGTATTAATAACATGTAAGAAAAAACTATTTTTTATATACTTTATACAATAGTGTTGAAAATCTCTAAATTTTATTATATAAATAAAAATAGGCTGGTTGTGGATATATCATGTTATGTACAATAATATTTATATCTATTATTATTTATCGAACAGTAATTTAAAATTGGATATTTTTTTATGCCGACGATACTTATAATACTAGTTTACAGTAAAAAAATTATTTTAAATCGGATTATAATGTATAAGAGGTTTTTGAATGTAGGGTCTTATATTTCAAAAAAAATATCGTATACGAAAATATTAGAGAAATTTATAATGTAACGCAGTATATTATATTTTATAATATAACGCACTATAATATATTTTCTTGTATTTTTATATATCATACTTTTCACAAGAATACAGTCCCTAAAAACGATGTCACAAGCCAAAAAATTCCAGTAGGTACGTCAAATTTTGTTAAAAGTAATTTGAAATTCAAAATAATTGTGGTACCGTTTTGTGCATCTAAAAATCTATAAGAAATACATTGTCTAGTTTAAAATAATTAAAAAATAAACATTTTTATAAACTAATGTAGTTATGACAATAATTTGATTTATTCATCTATAAATGTGTAGCAAAAATAATTGTTATTTAAGGAATAGATATTTGTTAAATATTTTGTAAATATTATGAAAATCTCATTTGCATTTATATATGTATTTTATTTTTAAATCAAGCAAAAAAAAATAAAGAATAGTACTTTTCTAAGCTTGTCTTTTATTACGGAATGCCTTGAAAATTACATTTTTAAGAGCAAAATTTGTATTTGTTTAACAAACAAACGTAATATTAAAAATATTCAAACGCAACATTATAATTAATTTAATGCGATATCAAAATCATTAATTCAAGCGCATTGTTGATCTTGAAAATAATTTTCATTTCTGTGAGCGAATTTATTTTAAAAATTCCCGCCCATCGCCACCAGCGCCATCATCTAACGAATTGATTTATCCTGGCAGCATGTATGATAAATTTGAAAATCCCTCGCGCCAATGTAATCGTAATAAATTCTCGATACGTTTAATTATACCAATAGGTCTGTTCGCGTTGCTTCAAATCTCCAGAAATGTTTGCACTTACGTGTAAACTTCATTGTGACTACAATAGCTTTCTCACGTGAAATCTCGCCGCGTAATAAACATTAATTGTCATACGTCTCGATTAATAACTTATTATAGACAAAAATAACGCTTGCGTCACCGTCACAATTATACCAATAGGTCTGTTCGCGTTGCTTCAAATCTCCAGAAATGTTTGCACTTGAAAGAGGATAAATATATAATTCAGGCCTTGAAAGGAGAGAGAACGAAGATGCTACGTGCGAAAAGTGCAACACGCGAGCAGATCTAACATCGACTTGATCCCATTTTTCTCATCACTCTTCGCAAATAAAAAAAAAACCATCTCTCGAACAAATTAACGTCTCGATCTCATTCAGAATCACGGGGAAATTTACTTTCGTCGAACAAAACTCATTATACTTATCTCCCATGCTGGCAATCGTGACTGACCGAGCGCACTAAAGTTGGCCACCCTACACTCGCGTGCACTACCTATCGCAGGCCGCAGCCCGTTCTTGCTTGCTGCTGACTTCAGTGCGCATGTTTCAGTTAATCAGTTCTGAGACTTGACGAGAGTGTGTCGGGATTGTAGAGGCTGATCGAGGCCCGAGGCCTGAGAAGGCTCGAAAGTGTGGAACAGTGGGCGAGCAATTTGGATCTCTATGCTCTCACTTTGAGTGAGAATGCAATCTGATCACGTCGACCGACGACACGCAGATTGGTAAGCGCGACAGAGTGTGTTCTCGGCCTAGGCGTACGATTGTGACGCGCGCATTCTAGCAAACAAGAAACAGAGAGATAGAGAGAGAGAGAGAGTGTGAGTGAGATATAGACGAGCGAGGACGGAGCATGCGACCGCGCCTCTGCGACGTTACTCGGCGTGTCGATGAGGATGGGAAGTTCGTCGACGACGACGAGGACGAGGGACGAAAGTGAGTCAGGGATAACGTCGTTGCAGTACGTCGTACGGTGCTGCATCATCATCGCTTAGGAATGGTATCGCCGTCCAAGCACCAATATCAGCAGCAGCAGCAGCAGCAACAACAGCAACTCAGACAACCGTCGAGAGAAAACAAGTTCTATCCACGACGAAAGCCAGGTAAGTCAATCCTGGAGCGCGTAATTCCGTATATTGCATAATAACCGCACCGTGCCGGGCCGTTAATGGACATTGCGTAGAGACGTTTGCACGACTGTGTTTGACACACACGTTACGTGTCTGTCTCTTTTACCCAGCACGTTTACACACGCACGCACAAGTCATACACGTCAAGGAACCGATCAGTCATCGCTGAGAGTATCCTTCGGTAAAGAGACGATTGTTATGCGTATGTATCGTTCGTGTTGTCACAGAGGAAACTCTTGAGTTGTTTCACAGAAGACCGAGATGTGCCTTCCAAATTCGTGTCAGCTTGGACGCTACGTGCGATTAATGGAATCTTTGCGAGTATACTCTCAGCGATATCACCAGCGTTTCCTTCGTCGTACAGTGCAAACAGTAATGATGATTCATTTCACATAGCCCGTCTTACAGCACGTTCTCTGGATGTGAGTAACGAGACTGTTATTATCGCTTGATTAGAGGCTGCACCAATTTGTCTGTATCATATGATTTGTACAGCAGTTGGTACGAATGTAAGACAGCAACTAAAATACAAGTAAACGTTTTTTGCAACCGCCACTTCTCGCAAAAGAAAACAAAAAAAAAAAAAAAAAGAGTCCGTGGAAAATATTTCTGATGCTGTATACACACAGTCAGTTGATTCATTCGGATCGATAATTGAAAAAAACTTTTGTCACGCCTCGTCGCGCGTCTAACAGGTGTGACAAAAAACAATCCCTGGCATTGATTCGCGCGATGGTAAAAATTGAGTAAAATTGTTGAAACTTCTTTTGTAGATATTTGTATACGAAGAGGCCCGCAACCTTTGGAGCAGAAGTCGTTCTATTTGGACATAAAGAACCATGCCATTGCGGCCAAGCTAGAGGCACAGATCAGGGAGTTGGGTGGTGTGAGTTACATTTCATCTCGTGTTTGTGCGCGATGCTGCGTTAGAGAGTAGAGAGCCCTGCAGCCCGTAAACCCACGTTTCCCGCTTCGTTTCTAGCCGCTTATCGATTTGTCGGAGCGTTTTGGTGTATTTCGGGCGAGTGTGCGAGTCTCTCTCTCTCTCTCTCTCTCTCTCTCTCTCTCTCTCTCTCTCTCTCTCCTCCTCTCTTTCTCTCC